GCAACCGGCGACAGGATCCACACCACCTCCAGGCAGTAGCCTGGCTACAGATTCAGAATACAGAAGAGCAGAGGCCCGATGCTCCCGGCTCACGAACCAACTTCCAAAAGCGCGTTCCTCCATCACTGTCTGAAGAGGAGAATGACTAGGAAGGTTGTCCCCACTAGACGAGAACAAGGCCACCAGGACTGCCTCAGACACCGACACACATTTTCCGCGGCCTGAATGCTTGCCTGTGTGTATCCTGTCTATGCAGTGAGCCTGTACGTGTGTGTACCTCGTGTGTGCTGTGAACGCACCTGTGTGTGGAGCTGTTGGATCCCTGACCCCACAGTAGGCTGAACTGCTGCAGAGGACAGGTGACCCTGCTTGCCTGGGAGCCAGTGCTGCCCCTGTGACATCAAGGGCTTTGCTCCTTGTGCCTCTCACGCACCTGACCCTTGGGTTGAGAAAAGGGTTGAAGAAAGGGCAATAGCTGGCAGAGAGGAGAGGGGCTCAGCACTCAGGCTGAGCAGATCAGGAGGGAGGCTCTCCCCACAGACCTCAGTTTCCCCCTGCTGTGACCTTCTCTTCCAGATGGTACTGACTACAGACACGGAAGCAACTCAAACTCCAGAGGAATGGCAGACACTGCATGGCCTCTGGGTCTGTGGGACTAGCAAGAAATCCTAGAAGAGTATTCAGTGCCCTTGACTGCTGTGCCATCTCTTCAACTCCCTGTTGTAGCATTCTCAATCTTGAGGCAGATTGAATCCACACCACGATGATCCTATAACTGTTCCAGCCTAGATTATCTTAACAGATTTGGAAGAAAAAAACATACTTGAACTGGGGGGGCTCTGTTTAAGTAAGGTGGGTGTCGGGGCTGGAGGGATGGCTCAGTGGTGAAGAGCACTGGCTGTTTTCGCAGAGGACCTGGCTTCAACTCCCAGCACCCATAGAGTGGCTCACAAGATCAATAACCCTAGCTCCAGGGATTCTGACACATTCTTTTGAACTCCACAGGCACCAAGCATCCACGTGATGCACAAATATGCACGCAGGCAAGCACCCGTCCACATAAAGTAAAAATAAATGTTTTTTAAAATAAATAAAGTAGGTGGTCTCAGGGCCAGGGCTCAGCCCAGACACCCACGAATGACTTCAAAGAGAATTCGGAGGCCTGCCTGCTATCGCCACAGCCAGCTGGCTGCATAACATCCCGGAAGCACGCGCTGATAGTGCTCTCTGGAAACGGGCCACGGGGGCGGCTGAGAACCAGAGGCAGGGGCCCTCCCTGCCCGTAGCTGCCAGGCTGTGTTCAGGAGCCACATGTGGACGAGAGCTGGGCAACAGCCAGCACTCCCAGTGTCTCATGGTGATGTTATCATTGTTAGAGGAACATTCCAGAAGAAACACGCCTGGTGTTTATTTAACATTTGGCTTTTAAGCAGCACAGAAGCCTGTGAGATGACGGCCTGGGCTGCCCCACAGCCTGGGAGCCGTGCGTGTGCCTGCGTCTCACACAACCTGGTTCCCTCCATCCAGGTCAGGCATCCCGGAGTCTCGTTCTTCGCTTAGCATAATCAAATGTCTCTGGCGGTAGTGCTTGGGCTGATGGCCCTTTTGGGTACAATTGTCTGCTGAGGGCAGCCTGCGGTGGGTGGAGTAGCTACTCTACAGTATACCACAGTCGGCAACCCGAGGAATGCCGGCTGCAGCACGCTGCCCATAGCCTGTTCCTCTCCTTCCCAGCTCATGGGTAGCTCCTCTTGCTGGAAAACCCCAAGTCCCTTCCAATAGGGGACCCATGGCCCAGGCAGCAGGGAAAAGGGTGGGGGGTGTCTCTGAGCAGAGGGGGGCTGTGAGCAGCCTGAAAGGTGACGCATCCTCCATCCGTTTATTCCATCCATCATTCATTCATTCCATCATTCATTCATCCGATGACAGGGCACTGTCCGTGGCTTACAGACCATGGGAAAATGAATAGCCAATATAGAACTAAGAGCACACTGCACAGGTGTGAATCTGGAACGCAGCTGCGCCGTCAGACTGTTGTGTCCCTCCCCCAGGTCCCTGGTTCTCCAGCTTCACTGTCATCTTACCTAAGACCTCTCCTCTCGACCCAGTAGGGTTCTACAGACTACCCACCTCAGAGCGAGAACTATTAAAAACCCAGGTACCAAGATGCCAAGACCAATTCCCCATTCTGAGAAACTTCACACTCTCAGAACAATTGAGAGTTGGGAATAGAGTCACCGCAGATGGGAGTCAGACGGGACACTCGTGCAATCCCAACAGTTGCTAGGCTAAGGCAGGAGGTTTGCCGCAAGTCTGAGGCCAACCTGGGCTACATAGTAAGAGCCTGTCTCAACAAGAAATATGCTCAGTACAGAGGGCCCAAAGTCTAGCGTGACTGTTCTGAGCATATGCACACAAGCACTGGCATTTTCCCCTCCGCTCCACATCCCCAAATCCTGGGACCAGAGGAGAGAAAGCCATGCGGGGGCAGGGCTGTGAGCATTTGGTCTCCAGACTAAGCCACCCGGTTGGGACTAGGCTCCCATCACCCCACTGTTCGGTCACTCCAACGTGGTTCTAAACTCTCAGAGCAGCACCAAGTGACACTCCTATTCCTCCAAGTGTCCAAGCCTGTTGGGGCAGAGGAAACCTGGGTGGGGTGCTTCATGCATTCTGATTTACAGTATTTTCATCTGACTCAAAGGCCAGCTAGAACTTATCCCAGCAAGCAAGGGTAAGCTGTGTGGTCTGCGCAGACCCAGGGGGTCACGCTTTAGCAGGCTGGCAGCTAGGAACCAGAGTGGAGATGTAAAGGGGAACTTAGGTCACAGGATTGTCAGCTGAGGTCCCTCAGTGTCCCAATTCCCAGAACTCAGGATAACCTCCCTCCTAACTACCACACACTCCACTAAGAATGAGGCTGGCAGGCCCAGTCCTGCTTAGGACAGAAGAAACTCTCCAGGCTCAGGGTCTGGGTTCATCAGGGACACTGCTTAGCTGGGAATCCCATGCTCTGGGACCGCTCACTGCCCTTCCTGTCCTGAGCATGTTTTGCTGACACCTGGGGAAAGGTCTGTGCCTGCTGGCTTGGCCCCATGGTAATGACATCACACCACGGGGTAATACTGTTTATGCAACCAAGAATCAGAGGATTCTGATGATGTCCCATTCAAGGACACGCTCCCAAAGACCTAACCTTCTTCCCAGCAGAGCTACCGTCTCCTGAGACAGGTAAGCTTCAGGTATAGTGGGGTCCCCACAGCTGCCCTCCCCCCTCCTCAGCAGACACTCACCCTCGGGGGACAAGGCAAGGCTGCTGTCTGCCCACTCTCATGCTTCCTTGATGGAAGCCCTGAGCAGGGTGTGGCCAGAGAAGCCGGGCTCCACCTTGTGGAGGGAGGAACCAGGTACTGCTGTGCCCTGTGGTCATTTCATTGGCTATCTAAATCATTTTCATTTTCTTCAAATCATGAAAGCCAGGGGACTGTACGTTTTCACAGAAATGGGTTACCATGTGATTCCTGTTAATTCTATAAAGATCAGGAAATACACAAATCCAGCAAACTCCCATCATCCACGCAGAGGACCGCTTTCTTGGGATCTGTCTCCTGTGTCTGTCCACACGAGAACACATGCTTTGTCTGAGGTGAAAAGGGACGTCCAGCCTCTGGTCAGCTGTGTGCTGCTCTGCCAAGCCTTAAGACACAGAACTCACCTCAGACCACTTTTTGAAGTAATTCTGAGGTAGTCCCAGTGATGTCCGCTCGGCTCCTCCCCTGCTCACTCTATGTTAGTGTCCTTGCCTGGGTGTGGGGCCCTGACCTGCTGTAACTGACCTGAACATGAAGCTGGCCTGTGGAATGCTCTCCCAAGTAGGACCCTGAAGGGTAGCCCTATGTTCCCCAGCAGGGGCATAATGAAAAGGTGCTCGCCATGGCCAGGCTGGAGTCGCCTGAAGCCACATCACAGAAATCTTAACACACACAACACAGGAAGACGGAACTCTCCTAAGCTGTGCCAGGCACACTGGAAAGCACTTGCACCACAGGTGGGTTTAGGCACGCACTGCTTCCCTTCATGAGAACCTATTCCCCCAGCAAGGCAGCCAGTCTCAGCTGAGGGCTGGAATGCCTCTGATGAAGGGAACTTGAGTCTGTGTCCAGATAAGTTCACTCTTTTTAAAAATTATTTATTTATTTATTTATTTTGTTTTTGAGACAAGGTTTCTCTTGGCTCAGGTAAGAGGTAGCCCTGGCTGACCTTGAACTCAGGGATCTGCCTGCCTCTGCCTCACCCAGTTGAGGCCTCTTCAGTCTTAACCACTTCCATTCACCAAGAGCCCTAGGTCCATTCCAGGCCTGGGGCCCTCAGCTCTTCTGCCTGCTCCCCACTCACAGGACTGGGGAGCACCGTCCGGGGTGAGCAGCACCATAAGCACTCCCAGGTGTGGGGTGGAATGTGGGTCTATGTGAGCCGTGAGGCCTGTAGGTGCTGCCCTGAGAACCCACTGGTGCCTGACACAAGTCTATCTTGTCCCAGCCAAGAGACTCCTGGCTGGGCTGTGCTGCCTCCAGGCAGGACCATCTGCTTCTCTGGTCATAGCAGGAAAAGGCAGTGAGACACTTGGGCTAAGAGAGGTCAGAGCCACAAGATGCTGTGGCTGAAGGCAAATGGTGTGAGAAGCATGGCGGCTGGTGGAGCACCCTGCCGGGACCAGGGCCCCACACAGCAGAGAAGGAACGCCCTGCTGGGACCAGGGCCCCACACAGCAGGGAAGGAGCACCGAGGCCTCAGGGATTGAGCGCCTTGACAGGCCTCTAGTTTCACACTAGTGCAGCTCTTGCAGATCCCCACAAGAGCAACCACCCCAACTGTGGCCCCTAGCTGGGGACCCTGGGCTTGTTCTGCAGAGACCCTGGAGTTGTCCCAGGGTCAGCTGAGCCTTGGAATCACAGGAGTGGCTGGCTCTAAGAGGGAAGGAAGTGAAGCCACAGATGGGCTCCGGGCCGTGGAAGGCACAGTCCATAGTCATTTTATTTGTCTTCACCGGCAGCTTTGCTCGCCTCCCCTAGGTGTCATGGCTGGCGAGGCGGCCATGCAGGTGCAGGACAGGACTCGAGAGCTGCTGGCACCGGCACCCACATGTGAGCCCTCTGGACCTCATGACACACAGTGTCAGCGTTGGTCAGAGATGTTCGCCACCCTCCAGCTGCATCTGGTGTGCCAGCTGCTGCCCGATGGCTAGCAGGGGACTGGCTCTGTAGGCTGGGCTGGCCAGCAGCTTCTGAAAGCGGGTCCTTTCTTCCTCACTGAAGGAAAGGAAGGCAGAGGTCAGCATGAGGAGAACAAGAACCCCCAGGATCCACACAACAGCCTAGATGCCTAAAACTGGAGCAGACAGCAGAGGCCCAGAGCGATCACGAGGTACAGTACCAGGGCACACAGGCACTGGTGAGGTCACCCTACCAATAGGCTTGCTAAGGGCTGCTGCCAAAGCAGAAGCTGACGGTCAGTGAGCAGAGGCAGTTGCCTTATGTAAGAGGTGCCTTCCTCCAATGGCCCAAAATAGATGTGTACAGGAGAGCTGTGGGCAACGGGGCAGCTACGAACACAGGCAGCTCAGGGGGCCTCTCAGATACGCAAGAGCCTTGGCTGTCAGGTCCTCTCATCCCGTTCTCTAACCCACTCAGTCACCTTCAGTAGAGCCTGAAGACACAGATGCAGGCTGCCTCAGGCTCAGTCAGCAGAGAAGGCGAATGCCTCACAGGCACATATGTTTGAATTTTTGGTCTCAGTTAGTGGAACTACTTGGGAAGGATTAGGGGGTGTGGCCTTGTTGGAGGAGGTGTGTCACTGAGGGTGGGCTTGAGGTTTCAAAAACCCACACCTGGCCTATTCTCTCTTTTACTTTACTTGCTGTGTGCGTGACTCAGTCAGATAGAGTTCAAGACTAGACTTAGTAAAAACCTATCTCAACAAAACAAAAACAAAACAACAACAAAAAAAAAAAACAAGGGCCAGGTGGTGGTGCACACCTTTAATCCCTGCACTCAGGAGGCAGAGGCAAGTGGATCTCTGTGAGTTTGAGGCCAGCCTGGTCTGACAGCCAGTGCTACACAAAGAAATCCTGTCTCAAAAAACACAAACAAAACAAAAACCTAAAACTATATCTACATAGATATAGTCTATCTATATCTACATATATATAGTCAGGCTATATCTCAGCAGTAGAACTCAGAATGTACGGGGTCTGGGTACAATTCCCAGTACTGGGAAGAGAGCTGAGGCTGTATAGTTCTATACTGATTTCTAAAACCAAAAGTCATCATTAAAAAGACCTAACTGAATCTATACACTGGGAGGGCTCGAAGAGCTTCAGGAAAAACTGACACAGAACACTCACCACTAAAAACACACAGAGGCTGTATACAGACAGAATGACCACCCTGTGTGGGTGACCCACGGGAGATCCAGGCTGCCTCAGGCTCCCCCAAAGCCAGCACACCACTGGAGCCATGTCGATAGAGGCTCGAGCAGAGGCAAGAATCTCATGGCCAAGCTCACATCCGAGAAGAGTGCCAGGCAGCCACCAGGGCAGCACTGCTGATGGACGAGGTGTGTGGCTGTGTGTGCATCATGGTCATGACACACCCCAGCCACCACCCCGGAGGCTGCAGAAAGGAAGTTCTTACACTGGACGCCATCACCTCTCCCTAGAGGAACTTTAGATAGGCGCCCAAGGCTACAGGATAGCTAAGTTTTTGGTCCCCCAAACTGTCTCCCACCTGTTGTCAGAAGCCAAGGCAGGACAGAGAAGAGGGTAGGAGCTCGAGGTGGGAGGGGCTGGAGATGGGGGGGTGTAAATCAGGAGATCAGAAAGAAGGCCCTGTGGAACAGGGCTGTACTCACAGAAGCTGCTGTCTCTGGGCTGTGCTCATTCGGCTAAGCTCCACTGGCCTGGGCTTGCTGGTCACCCTGCTGTGGAAACAGAGAGTCCAAGTCAGTCTGACACATTTCACCAGAAAATTTATCTTCATGGCCCCTAGTGTCTACAGCACCAGGAGTTCAGGAGCCCACACTGTCCACTGGCTGTGGAGACTGGATCTTGATGAGCTGCATCACCTGGCTACCATATCTACAGTATCCAGGGTCTTGTCTCACTCCCTAAGGTTCCTGTGTGATATAGAAAGGTTTATCACCTCAGAAAAACACATCACTTTTGTACCCTGAGTCTACCACCTGCCCAACCTGAGTGGAGAACAAGGCATCCAGGTGGTGGCCTACCCTGGACCCTCAACTCCACTGCAGGGCAGAACCTAAAAACTACATAGCACTTCCTGACAAGACACAGGCAACTGACATCTGTCCTCTTACTTTCGATGAGGGAGCTATGCTACCAGGCAAGTATGGTACCTGGCATTTCAGTGCAACCTTAGGAGTCAAGCACTGACCCATACTGCCTACAGATGCCAATGTGCACCGAAGGACCTTCTAGGGCAAGGGGGCGGTACCTGCCGACCACCAGATGAGTGTATCGTGAGGAGATTCTCAGGGCCTTCCAAGCCACTGCACTAGGTATGAGTTTGAGAGCCTGGGGCTCAGGGCCAGGCAGCACATCTCCTAAGGTCAAGTCTGGTGACTGCAGGTCATGCCAGGGGCAGACCTACAACATCTCCAGGAGCCTGGTCCAATATCTGAAAGGGAGAGGCAGTCCCACCCAGCAGCAAGGAACCCAGGCAGTGAGGGAGAACCCAGAGCCCACTACCAGATGAGGTGATTTCAGAGACATCATGCTGAAAGAGAAGCCCAGGACGGGAGACAGCCAGAGGACGGGCCCAAGGCACTGCTGTGTCCTGGGCCAACACCTAATTTAGACTCTTGATCTATTCATGTTCCTTTTCAAATATGAATGAGCAATGCTTTTGTGTCTTCTCTGTGATTTCTCATACCTTGGCCTCTGGTTCCCACCCTCCCCCAGGGGAAGAACAATCAGGTTGCATACGACCCTTTCCCTGCCCCAGTCTGTTAGGATGGTAACCTCATGCCTGTTTGCTCAGCCCAGAATCTGCCTACACAGTAGTACCCAGTGCCTCCATCCAGTCCCTCCTGCAGAGGGCCACTGCCTCAGGTGACCTCGCTAGTAAGCTCTCTCAGTCTCATTGGCTGTATGATGGGGACAGTCTCCCTAAATGCCGTCCAGATCTGCTCTGAGTATGGTGGCAGCAGCCTGGGTCTTAAAGGACTCTATGCACGGACACAGAGAGCTTCCGAACTCAGACACTGGAAGCAAGAACACAGTGTAACCCTGTGAAGCTCTTCCACAAGCAGACGGTAGACTTCCTAGAGCACAGCTCCATGTGCTGTTTCATAACTGAAAAATTTAAAAATGGTAGATTTCCAAATGTACAACAGCCAAAAATAAATTCTGAACCAAACACAAAGCGAATCCAGGATGTCTTCGGCAGAGCTCGCCTGAGCTGCATCATGTCCCTTCACTGCAGCCTCGGTCCTGAATGTGCACAGCTTGCAGTACTGCCCAGCACCGCCTGACTCGGCTCAAAGCAGAGCGGGTTACAGGAAGGAACGGCAGCCTCCCTGCACAAAGCTTCTGGCTCTCAGAGAAGCCCAAGGCTGTCACTGTGGAGACAAACGCTTGTGATGTGTTCTTATTGTTCTTCACGCCAGGATCAGGGTTATCTTTGCGCTATGGTTTTAGAACCCTTGGTTTAAAAATTGCTGTTTGAGTTCTGACTTCAGTTTGTAAAAATGAAAGAAAGAAAGAAAGAAAGAAAGAAAGAAAGAAAGAAAGAAAGAAAGAAAGAAAGGAAGGAAGGAAGGAAGGAAGGAAGGAAGGGAGGGAAAGAAAATAAAGAAATTGCGCTTGGAATTAGATCCAGCAGTTTCTGAAACAGCTCTGTCAGACTTTTTCCCTCTGTACTGTTTACCACGTGAAGGAAGCGCCATTCTCAGCCTTTCGATTATAATATAAAAATGCAGATTAACTGGAAAATAGTAAAGATGCTCTAGATCCTTATTAATACAGACGGGATTTATTATTTTCTAAGACTTGTTTTTATTTTTACTTATGTGTACATGTGTGCCCGTGACTGAATGCCATGGTGCAGGTGCTCATTCGGGCCAGCAGAGGGCATCGGCTGCCCTGGAGCTGGAGTGACAGGTGGTTCCCAGCCACTGTGCTGAGAACTGGACCAGAGTCCTCTGCAAAAGCAGCAAGCCCTCTTAAATCACTGATCCATCTCTCCAGCCCAAGAGTTAATTCTTTTATGTTAAACAAGTATATCATTTCATCAGTATGCAAATATGCTTTCATCTTTGATAAAGATAAAATTATATGTATCCCACAGGACTTTTTTTTTCCTGTCAGTGTTCCTCAGCTACCTTATAAACCAATGTACTTGGGGCCATATAAAACCTTCTTAGCAGCCAGACCTCTGTGAGTTTGAGGCCAGCCTGGTCTACATAGTGAGTTCCAGGCCAACCAGAACCATATAGACCCTGTCTTGAAAGGAAAACAAAAAAAAACCAAAAAACCAAAAAAAACAGCTGGGCAGTGGTGGTGCACACCTTTAATCCAAAACCAAGGGCTGGAGAGATGGCTCAGCGGTTAAGAGCACTGACTGCTCTTCCAGAGGTCCTGAGTTCAATTCCCAGCAACCACAACCATCTGTAATGGGATCCGACACCCTCTTCTGGTGTGTCTGAAGATGGCTACAGTGTACTCAGATAAATTAATTAATTAAATAAATAAATAAATAAAAAATTCTTTAAAAAACAAAAACAAAAAATTCTCCAGGGCAGGGCAGGGCAGGGCAGGGTTTATGCTTTTCCACACACGGCCCCTCTCGGGAAAGCTGAAGCCATCTCTGGCTGGCAGAGCTTGTGTAGCTCTCCCAGGTCTGGGAGCCCCAAGCACATTTCTCAGAAGAGAAGCTGTAAAGAGGAAGGGATCCTTGACCAGGGTCACATATTTTGCTTAAGAACAGGAATGGAATCTGCATGGCTGGCTCTGCTCGGCTGGTGAGTCTTGACCTGTGTCAGGGGCCATGTCTGGCAGGCGCGGCATGGGTGCCCCATCTTGGGAACTCAGCCCTGGGCCATCTGGTTCTACGGCAAGGCACCCACCTGCCCCCTAACGAGGGCACGGAACCTCTGCTTTATTGTCAGATGAAAACTCACTGCAAGATTTTTTTTTTTAAAAAAAGGCAAAATAAGAAGCAACAAGCCTCGTGGGGTGGCTAACACCTGCACTCCCAACACTTGGGGGTGAGGCAGGAGGACTATATTAAGTTCAAGGTTAGTCTGAGGTACACAATGAATCACAGGCCAGTGTGGATAGTGAGACCTTGTTAACCCTCACCACCACCCTCCAAAAACCCAAACCCCAGGAAACAGAAGTGACAACTGCTGAAAGCCCCTCCCTCCCCTGCCCCACAGTGCACCTCTGCACTGTTAAGCCCCAGGCCAGCACCCACTCTTCATCCTTTCACTGGACAAGAACAGGCAAGTTTAGGGCTGTGTGGGCTCCGGCCCTCTCCCTGAGGTCTCCATGCAGTGTGCCCACATACAGAGGCTCACCCTCGGAAGGGGTCAGGGGAGGGAGGACATAGGCAGGTGTCAGGTGAAGGTTCCCTGAGAAAGGGACGTCAGAGCTGTCTGCAAGGGGAACAGGAAGGTCAGGCGGATGCACAGCAAAGGCCACCAGGCCTTGTGCTGCTGACCACGTGCCTAGTATGGAAACAGGCTGGCCAGAGGGAGGACGACACGAGGAGCACACGTGGTGGGCTGGCCAGACTTCCACCAGGGCTAGACACAGGCGCCTTCCACTGCACTTCATCCAAGGGCTCAAGGCAAGGGGGAGGCTCCCTGAGCCTCATGTGGCTGACAACTCACTCACCTTTCAGAGAGGAGACTTCAGAGACCGTTATCAACCCCTCTCCTCCCTCTGAATCCAGGACTATGGAGACACAGCTCTTAAGAGATGGCCAGTGCCAGACACTCACCGCCTGGCTTGCTGCTGCTGGCGGCTGGCCTCCAGTTCCTGCAGCTCAGGCAGGGCATCCCTCAGGGGGTGCAGGTCACCGACCACCACCATGGCCTTGCGCTTCCGTTCCTCCCGGAGCTTCTGCTCTGCCAGCTTTATGGCTTCGATTTCTGAGGGAGACAGGAGAACATGGCAATTAAACCCTGCTCCCCGCCACGCCAGAGGCCACCAATGGCAGGCACCTACCTACAAGCTGTGTGTACCCTGAGGCCTGCTTGCTCCCACAGAACACAAGTGTTCTTTGTTATCCCGCTGTCACCTGCTCTGCACCCCTAAAGAATTGGGGGGCGGGCCAGCTCTGAGTTATTTTTTTCTCTTTAATCACAGAGGCACACTTTAATTACAGGGCTGACTATGAGCTTGGAGCTTCAGAACAGAGGCCTGCCTCCTCTGTAAGGGGTGCAGTGCAGGGCCTGGGCACAGAGACTCGGGGGGCTGGCATGGGGACAGTGGGTGGACACAGGCCCTGGGCTTCACGGGTAACTTACTGAGAAGCCACGGTATCCTTTATCCTGGGCAATCTAGAACTGTGTGGCACCTCCCTGAGACTTTGAGAGGGGGCGAGTGGTCTCATAGAGTGGAACTGTCAGCCACAGGGGGCGACAGGGAGCGACAGGGGGCGACAGGGGGCGGCAGGGGGCGGTAGGGGGCGGTAGGGGGCGGTAGGGGGCGGTAGGGGGCGGTAGGGAGCAGGGTAGGCGGCCAGGCCGCAGGCACAGCACTACTGTAAGAGAAAGTCCGCTGTAGGGCACAGTCTTAGAATTCAATGTTCTTCAAAAGATGGATTCAATTCCAAACTGCTAATGTCACAAGTACTTAAACTTGCTACTTGCCCGTGTGTGGCTGTGGGTATGTGCAGTTCTGGGATAAAAGCCACTCTCTCTGGGTAGCCAGCCACATAAGGACCTCTATTCAGATCCTTCAAACATGGGGTGACCCTCGCAGAGGGGGTGAGACAACTAGCAGCTTCTCATCAAGACACAGCCAACTCTGCCCCTCTACAACTGGAAAGACGCCTCACAGGACAGGTCAGAAAGGCCACCCTGACCACCTCAAGCAGGGCCAATATGTCAGGGCCCATCACTTCATGCTGAGGCAAAGACAGCCCTCCAAGGCCTCTGCCCAGTGCAGCCTAACAGACTGTGGATTTATAAGGTGACAGTTTGGTGGGTTTTTTTTTTTTAGTTTAGGTGGAACAGAGCAAACAATTCACTTAGCACCTCATCAAAACCAGCAGCTCTTCCCAAAGTGGGGCAGAGGGGAGGGGGTGAACTTCCCTGGCAGATAGAAGGGCTAAGGGGCCCTCCCTCAGGCATACAGGCTGACAGACCCAGAGGAAGGACAGCAAGGCTGAGGGAGACATGCAGCCCAAACACACGCAAGCAAATCCAAACCAAAGCTGCCCAAACAGGGCGATCCAGGGCATGCAAGGATAGGTTGGTGTCTGGAAGTTATTGTAACCCGCCATGCATGTCTGGTGGCAGCGCTGGCTGAAAGGGGAAAAACTTGGTCACCAAACGTGCCAGAAGAGATGTGGTAAAACTCACTATCTACCCACGATAAAGTTACAGTGAAACCATAAACAGATCCAAGATAATAAATACCTCATTTCTACTGAGCTCAACAAGATAGCCCAGCCACATCCTGGCACTCCCGTCTGGCAGCTCACTGCTACCAGGGAGGCAAAGACAGTGGCAGAAGACAGCAGGAAGTAGACAGGGTCAAGAGATGTGACCAGTCCCAATCCCTAACCCACAATGCAACACGGCTTTTAACCAAGTTGGGAAACCTAAATACTTTCTTAAGCAAACCAACTAGATAAAAACAAGAACCCTCAAATATCAGGGACAGGCGGATAGGAATTCAAGGTCACCCAGACAGTCCAGGATACTAAAGACCCTGTTTCAAAACCATAAAAGTCTCAATGTGAACGAAACATTACTTAAACAGAATGAGCAAGAGAGCAGGTCTAACACTCAAACGACAAAACCTGGGGCAGAGTCTCGGACAGAGACAAGAAGTGGCTGCTCTTGTGGCTGCCCCTCGCTCCCTGCGCCCGAGGAGGAACTACTTGAGTTAGACACTCTAAATAAGTAGAGAACCACAAAAAGCCAAAACACAGTAAAGCCACAAGCCACCACTGGAATCCAGGAAGACAAATCACAGCCGTCAAACACAATTTCTGAGATGCCTCGATCAGTCAGGTAGCTCAAGCGTCAGAAGAACAGCACTTTACAGGGGCTGAGCTCCGGGTGCTGTACAGCGTAGTCCCGGAGGGACCTGATCCACATGCACTTGGGGCCCCATGCTCAGAACACGCTGCTCCAGGGAGGGGAGCACTTCCCGAGGAATCCGATACCGGGGAGGCAAAGTGGAGCAAAACGGAGAGGGGGCAGGAAAGGTAAAGCTTGGGACAGTTCCTCACGGTGACAGCAGGCAGAGTGTGGCAAACGATCATCAGGCTCCACAGCCACGGAAGAGACATACTGCTGACGGTCCTAGAGAATCCAGTACGGCTACCAGACCTGAGACATGTCCTGGGCCAGAGCACGAGACAAAGGCTGTTACTAAAACATAAGAAAATGATAATCACTTGCACTTTTAAAAAACTTTTAGAAGTACATCTATCCAAAACACACATGCACACACACACACACACACACACACACACACACACACACACACACACACAGGGAGGCGGAGGGTGCTCACCTACAACACTGATAGCGGTAATTAAGAAAACCTGACCAACGATGAGAGGCCTACCATGTTCCTCGACCTGACTCAGGGTCGGCAGCCCACCCTCCCGAAGCTAGTCTACAGACCCGGTGCCGCCCCAATCACAATCTCTCTCAGCTTCTGTTGTCGGCTTTAAGTAGAATGACAAACAGTGAAATTGGATGACGTGCTGAGATCCAAGAATGCCCAGAGCAAGCTAGGACGAAGGAGCAGGGAGGCCTTGTGTGCCTGTTCCACTTGCTGACACTAGTCATGGGCCACAGCACAAGCACGGATGGAGGGAAGCCATGTGACTTTCAAAAGGACAATCCAGAGAGGAAAACAATCTGCATCAGACTGTGGCAGGACCACCCACCAACTTGCAGCCAACAGGCGCCAGCTCAGGATGGACCACAGCCTAAGGACAAGCCAGGCTGTGACACTTTCAGAAGGAAACAGAAAAACATCTTCATGACTTGGGATTCAGGGTGCTTTTTATGGCTGGCTGGCTGTGACAGAGTCTATTCTATAGCCCTGGCTGTCTCGGAACTCACTATGTAGACCAGGCTCCTCAGACCCACAGAGATCAACCTAAGCCACATCTTCTTAAACAAGACACACTGTAATCATATGGAAAAAAAAATATGGGTTAGATTTTTAATAATTAAACTCCTGTAGTTAAAAAAAAAAGTTAAGAGAATGAATGGGCAAGACAGTCTGCAAGGAATACAGCACACACAGCCGACCAGGGCCGGCAGGTCCCCAGCACACAGAGTTGACCAGGGCCGGCAGGTCCCCAGCACAAACAGCTGACCAGGGCCAGCAGGTCCCCAGCACACAAAGAGAGCAGCCAAGCTCAGTAAAAAAACCACAAAGCACCTCAAGAAGAATGACCCTCACTGAAGATGAGATGCACACACATGCCAGTGCTCTTTCACAGAACACAGACCAGCAGCCCATGAGACAGCAGCCCAGGTCACCAAATACATGACTGAGGACGCACCACCACCCGTACACATGGCTGTAGGGCCACCACAACTCTTGTGATGCTGGAGGGGGACACATGAACCATGGCTTCGGAAGAATGTCTGGCAGTGCTTTACAAAACTAAACATACACCTGCCCTATGACCCAGCATTCCATTCCTAAGTCTTTACGTAAGAGGAATAAAAACATGTCCGCAGAGACACAGAGCGAACGCTCGTCAGCCTTACTGACCACAGACAAGATGGAAGGGCAGACAACCATCAAAGGGAGACAGGATAGCAAGGATGACCATGGAGAGCATGGTGCCTCTCGGCCATGGGACTGGCCGCTGCTGCGTGCAGTGCAGCCTGGCAGGAAGGCACTCCCAGGAGACAAAGTACTAATGCAGCCTCAGACCCCCTGGACATCGCACCTCACACTGGGCAGGTAGGCAGGTGGCACACGTAGCTGTCAGAAGTCACTGCTGATGCCAGGTAAACATCCTCTTCCCAAGAGAACAGAAAGGTGATCACAGACAAGCCCAGCGCTAGCCAGCCTATCTGCCAGCAGGTAGATGAACGCCCGCAAAAATGCACTAAGAAAGAGCTGATGGGCGGGCAGGAAAGAACCAAGCAATGGCTGGGACAGAGAAGTAAACTGTTAGCTGAAGACAACATGGACACAGTCTAGCTACTTAACCAAATCTAAAGGAAAGCCCAGTCAGGGGGTCGGTGGAGGCTAATACTGCAGAGGAGGAGCAGGCAGGACTAGTAGTTAGTACCCAGGGTTTATGCACTGAATCGATGAAGCTTCTTAACAAACCTAATCAGAAACGGTGGAACACAGATAAAAATGATGGCACACTCAGCAGATAGCAGTCCCTCCCCAGGACTAGGGTTCAGTTCTCAGCACCCATATGGCGTCTCATAACTGGTTATAACTCCAGTTCCAGGAGATCTGATGCCTTCCTTTGACCTCTGCAGGCATGTGGACCAAACACTCACACACACAAAAGGAGTATGAATGAGAGAGCAGGGCTGGAGATGGAGCCCAGTGGTAGAGCTCTGGTCTACCATACGAAAGACCCTAGGTTCAATCCCAGGGGAGGGTGGGGGACAGAGGCAGGGAAGGGGCAACACGCAGCCTTTCACTAATAAAGTCTGAGAGCTGGTGAAATTAGACTATTGTAGAAGCAACCAGGAGGCATAAAAATCAACTCACATCAACCACCAGAAACAAAAACTTCCACATCAAAGAAGCACACCTCAGACATGGCCAGGTCCCACGCCAGAAACCTCAGCATCTCCTGCCCCCTAGAAAGCACGATTCCTTTTGCTGGGAATTGTGAAAAAGTGACCAGAGCAGCCAATTTCTTTTATAAATAAATAAATAAATAAATAAATAAATAAATAATAAGTAAATACATAAATAATCCCAAAAGTAACAAAATATAAAACTAGCAATCACTGAGGAAATTGACCAATTTCTATAAATACTGCTTCCAAAATACCCCTTTATTTAAAGTTTTCAAGAAAAAAATTTCAAGAAAAACTACCTTATTTTCAAGGAAAAAAAAAATAAGGTAAACCATATTTAAACATGTAAGAACATAAAGATGAAAATGTCCCAAATTAACTCCCAGAGTTGGCAGAAACACACTAAAAGGAAAGATAACAGCTAAGAGAAAAATTACAAAGCAATCTTCATAATTTTCAAGTAAACACAGAAAGTGCTTGGGGAACGTCACACATAATCAGCTTTGAGGAAAACGACTGCCTACTGCAGGAAAGGAGCGAGGGAGAGCTGCTCCATCTGCTCCAGATGCTCCAGATGCTCGGCTGGAGACTGAGGCCAAACTCAAACCTCAGACAGGCCAGGCGAGCTGCCTTGCTCCTGCGATCCCCCAGCTGCAGGACAGAGGCCCAAAGATCAGGAGATCAGGGTCTGGCGTGGCTACTCACAGAGTTAGGCTGGCCTGGACCATATGAACTCCATCATAAAATGACAGTCCCACAGACCTGGAAAGAACAGCAGACAGGCCTCACCTATGCACCGGGGCTCTACCCCACAAATGGACATGTTATCTCTGCAGTTACAGCTTTCATCATGGAGCTCAGACAGACCACTGTTACCCAAGGGACAGAGAACAACTGTTGGGATGGTTTTGTGCAGAGGAGGAAGCAAGGAGGTTGCAGGAGGCTGACACACGGTCTACACCCACTCTAGGGACACATCCCTCATGCTGCCCTGGTGCCGACTCCCTCTATGCAGCCAACTGAAGCCAGCCACTGATGCTGCTTCCTAGTGAGAGGACAGGGACACGACGGCCTCCATAGGATGGAAGTCTACCCGTGTGACACAGGCGTCTGGATGAGAGTGGGGCAGATGTGGCTAACTCACAAGATAAGGATGTGAACTCACTCTGCAGCCACCGCTCACGGCGAAGCTTCAGTTTTTCCTTCTTAGGCAAAACGGCCTTTGGCTCTGCACCTGAGGAGAGAGAGCACAGGAGTAATGAGGTAGGTCAGTGTCTGTTCAGCCCGGGGTCGGGGGGTGTCTCCCCATCCCTGCTAAGGCCAATGACAGGGCAGCTTGTGAGTACCCAGGTGACGAACAGCCTCAGGCTCCATGCAGCAGTGGGTCCCTACACTGGTACAGCACTGTCTGTCAGGTTCTCCAAGCTCAGCTGGCCCCAGTGCATATATGGATGTGAGGATGCCACAGCGCCAGCACCAGGTCCTGGACAGGACACACCTTCACCTTGTTTGCCCGCATTAGGACCAAAGCATGAAGACAAAGTGTCTGTGACGCCTCCAGTCCTCAAGATCCCATCCCTGGAACGCACACCTGCAGCCTCTCGTCTGCAGATCTCCAGACTATCTTCTAGTGGTGGCCTTCCCTGCCTGGTTTTGTCCTCCCTTCCTTGTGCTCCTGGCCTCACATAACCCGCCATGGTGTACGGATTAGCACATCCCTCCTGTAAGGGCTGAACTGTGTTCCAGGTTCAGTGCTGCAGTGCTACCTCTTGATTTTTTAGGATGGACTGGCAGGCAGCCAGGCATGGAAGCTTATGCCTTTTATAACCCCAGCACGCAGAAGGCTGAGGGAGAACGGCCTAAGTCTGAGGCCAGCTCGAGCTACATGGTGAGTCTCAAAAGGAAAAGTAGTAGGATCTTTGGAGGCAGTGCGATGGTTAGTTCTGGTTGTTGACTTGGCATAATGGGTATGCTGGTCGATCAGGGACTTTCTTAATTGGGTTGCAGTTGGAAGACCCGCCCTGACTATGGGCGGCACCACTGCAGGGCTAAGCCCTGGACTGGAGGGAAGGCCCACCCTGACTATGGGCAGCACCGCTGCAGGGCTAAGCCCTGGACTGGAGGGAAGGCTAGCCCTGACTATGGGTGGCACCGCTGCAGGGCTAAGCCCTGGACTGGAGGGATGCAGAGGACAAGCTCAGCACCAGGACGCTTGTGTTACTTCACTGCTCGCTATCTTGACTATGGATATAACGTGACAGCTGCTTCTTGTGGCCTTTAAGCCCCTGAACTGACGGGACTGTAACCTGGAACTGTGAGTGGAATGAGCCCTTTCTCCCTTGCGGTGCTTTGGCCAGGTTATTTCATCAGACACAGGCCTTGGGGCTGGAGAGGTGGCTCAGTGGTTAAGAGCACTTGTTCTCGCACAGAACCCGGGCTCAGTTCCCAGCTACTGCATGGCAGTTCACACCCATTGTGACTCCAGTTTTAGGGGATCCAGTACCTTCCTCTGACTTCCACGGGCACTGCACACACGCGGTGCACTTACAGACGTGCAGGCAAAATACTAATATAAATAAAATGAAAACAAACAAACCAAAAATTTGAAGGCACAAGTCAGCACACAAAGGTGCTCTAAATACAGCGAGGTCTCCTTTACAGAGGAAATGAGACCGACCATCAAGGTGGCCCTGATCTAACTTTTCCTTAGATGAGGACCATGAGGCAGGTGCACTCAAAGGGAAGACCATAGAGAGAGAGGACACCATGTGACAGCCAAGGAAGAGCAGAAGACTCACGCCCTCCCTACCACAATTGTGACACAGTCCTCTAAAACCACAGCAACAATAGGCGTTGAAGCCACTGGGTCTGAAGTATTGCTCTCTGAGTGAAGCCTACCTTCTTAGACACAGTGAAGAGCAATCAGCCAGGGAGAGGCCGTGTACAGACTGCCAGTCTCTGCTAGTCACCACTGCAGCCAGAGGGCCTCCCGGTGGCTGAGTGTACACTTGTCTGGGGACATTTAAGAATACACGTGGAGATATATCTGCACCAGGAACCAGATGACATGGCCCCACTTTTCAAAGGAAAAAACCAAGGCTCACTGGATGCACGCTCTGTGGTAACATCAGTTGGACTTGTCCCAGGGGCATAGACAACCGGGCTGTGTGAGCAGAACAGATGGACAACACTGACCGGCCGGCTCTGAAGGGCCTGGACAATGCTAGCCGGGCTGCCTCTTTTTAAGGATGGTCTCAGTCCAATCTTAGGACAGCTGAGCCAGCAAGGAACACTGCCCATGGTGAATAAGAAGGGCTAAGTGTGGAACTGAGGAACTACGAGGTAGGAAGAGGAGGCCCTCACCGGTTACTGGGCTTTGGGCAACTGGGTAGCACAGAGTCTTGGTGGGATGAACGGTGGGAAATGGGTCACTGGAATCTCTCTCTGCTGTTAGGCTGCCCCAGAACAACACAAGGATGGTCCACGCCCTTGGTCTTAACAGCCTTTCCCAGAGCTGACATGGTTTAGTCACAGAGAAGAAAGAACATGGTTTTACCTCCCAAGAACATGTGTAGGACACACGATCTCCTGCCATCTCAGACACATAGATGTTCCTGGACTGTACAATGGAAAACCTGCGTGTTTAAGGATAAACAAGACAGAAGCAAGCCCTGTCAGGAGACGCTGGAGTTCCTGATAAGCTACTTCAGCCTTTATTGAGGGAACAGGTACAAGGCCTACTGCTCCTTTTCCCTAAAAGAAAGGCTGGGGCTGCACACCTTGGGCTGGGCTGGGCTGACAGATGGAACATCCACTGCCCTCCACTGCACTCCAGTGCACCACAGCTAGGCAGGTGTCACATGACTAGAAGCACTGTGAAACCACAAGTAAGCTGACAACAGGCCTAACTGACAACAGGGGTGGGACTTGGGGGCTTTCTGAGGTGCATGGAAACTTGTAAGAAAAATAGGCCTGGCACAGGCAAGACGGCACCAAGGGGGGTGAGGAGTTCATACAGAAGTGCACAATGGTAAGACTTCCCAGGGGACAGGAAGTAATTCTCTCTACATGATCCTTTCAACTTTTTGTAATTCTGCAATTACTCCAAAGTAAAAATAACACCAAGGTCAGTGGAGACTGGCCCTAGCAATAACACGCCTAGCACCACACAGAACGAGGGATGTTGGAGCAGGCTACTGAGAACACTGGCTAGAATGTGACCTTTTTAGCCCTCCATCGCTCCAGAGAACCAGAACTGAACAGGCTGTTCTTGCAGATGCAAAGGGTTTGGAATGCTGAGGTCGTGCAGAAGCTGAAGTCCTGACACAGCCCTAGGATCCTGCTGCACTTGGCACTGATGCTCACCCTTGCTTCACTGGACTCTGCACAGGCTGACGGTTGCTCCCTGTGGGCAGAAAGACAGGCCCAGAAACAGGCAGCAACCAGACAGTCATGGGTGGCCTCCATCATGAGGACAGGGATGTTCATGACATCAGCAGGCCTGTGCTGGCTAGAATAAGCACGCAGAAAGCTATGGCTGCTGCCCAAACGGGGCTTCACGGGAGCCACTGTGACAGAAGCTCAACCTGAGCTGTGTTGGGGACAACAGAGCTTTGAGGTGTTGCAGCTTCCAGGCCTTTCCCTGACTACCAGTTGTCACAGCCTCATCCTTGGAAGGAAGAAAGGAAGGAAGGAAGGAAGGAAGGAAGGAAGGAAGGAAGGAAGGAAGGAAGGAAGGA